GTTAGATTTTTTCATTTCACATCCAAATCTTTATTTTTAGGGAATAGTTTGTACATTTTTGGTCAAAAACTGCTTGTCAGATTGCATTGAAATGTGGCATGAATGTTCTTGACACAAGTGTTTATTTTAAGTACATATTTTTTTGTTTTTTTTGCTCATTTTTGCATATTTTGGACTTCTTCTCCAAAACTGCCTGCCAGATTGCTTTGAGATTAATAATGTAGACACATGGATGGGTCTCCTTTCAAATTTGTTTATTTGGTGAAGAAATCTCTATTTTTGTGAAAGTTATGAATATTTTTGTGAATATTTAGTCCCCGTTCGGATGCAGTCCGAAAACAGGAACTTATGTTTTGACCTCCGTGTGTCCGGACCTATATCATAGAAATGCCTGGACCAATCACAATCAAACTGCACACATATATCATACATGATATTATACATATGCATGTCAATTTGTTTCACGATCTGATTCAAGATGGCCGAATGGCGGCCATTTTTGTGCTAAAAATCATCAAAATCAAGCATTTCTTGGCTGTTTACAGATGGATTTTGTTCAAACTTGGTATATACATTAGACATTATAGGACCTTGATGCACATCATTTTGTTTTACTATCTGATTCAAGATGGTCGAATGATGGCCATTTTTATGCTAAAATCCTAAAAATCAAGCATTTCTCGGCTGTTTACAGATGGATTTTGTTCAAACTTGGTATATACATTAGACATTTTGGGACCTTGATGTAAATAATTTTGTTTTTCAGATAAGATTCAAAATGCCCGACTGGCGGCCATTTTCTATTAATGAATGTGGTTCTCTTGCCATATCTCTGAATTGCTTTCACTGATTATGTTCAAATTTTAAATATTCATTATACATCATGTCATAGATAAACAGATGTATTGATCCTATTCAATATGCTAAAAAATCATCAAATATCAAGCATTTCTGGCATTTCTGGATGGATTTCGTTCAAACTTGGTACATACATTAGACATTACGGGTTCCTGATGCACGTAATTTTATTTTTCAGATTGGATTCAAAATGGCTGACTGGCGGCTATTTTGTTTTAATGATTGGGCTTCTAGAGCCATATCTCTTAAATGCTTTGACTGATTATATTCAAATGTTATATATTCTTTATACATCATGTTATATATATATATATATATATATATATGTATTCAAAATGGCTAATTTTGAATGCCGTTTCAGAGCAATATCTCTTAATATGGGCAAGTACTTGTTTGACGATCAGATACAAATGTCAATCATTTTAATGTTAAAAAATCATATTCCTGACATGGCTATATTCCAGCTATATTACTATAAACAAAACTATATATCTTAAATTTGATATCTAACGGGGACTGTGCCATGCATGGCTTGTTTTTTTATATTTTTACCATACATTATATATGGGCTAGGTATAATACATGGACTGTTATAGACAAGTGTATTATTGGGTTCTGAACTACCAGGGCCAATGTTTTTGAAAAAATGTAAATTTCAGGTCAAGGTCATTTCAATGTTTATATGTTTTGCTGCTATTAGACAACTATGTTGAAGTTGAGGTCAAGGTCAATCGCTATTCGATTTTTGTCCTGACTGGCCTTATCATACTCCACGATCACCATTTCTTCAAACTGGTAATAATACAATGACCAGTTTCTTTTATGGTGCCAAACTTCATCAACATCACTCCACCCTACGTTTCCAACTCACAGTTAACAATTACAGTGGAGCTCTTTCGACCGCAAGGTCACTTGTTACATATACCGGGTAATAATAATAATAATAATAATAATAATAATCTTTATTGAAAAGGTCTGAAACTTTTGAGTTTTTGTTTGTCAGAGTGAATGCAGTTTTGTGAGTTTACGTGATGTTGAAAGAGCTATGAATGTATTGGTTTGGTTCTATAAGCACAAGAAGGTTGCAGAACTACTCAGAGACCAATTTTATAAAGACCTTGAAGAGTATGAAGATGAGGATGAAGAAGAAGGATGAGAACCATATGTGTCTGCGGTAAGTCTGGAGCTAACATGCTACAAAATTCACTCAGACAGGCAATTTTTGACAAGTAGTAAAAATAGTTTTTCTCGATATTAAAATAAAATTACCAATACATGTAGCATTTAATAAATGATTAATTTTATACACAAACCTGTAAATAATAATTGACATATCCCAGCTAGTCATCACAGTATTTCCAGATAAGGGCAGAGAACCTAAATTTATCGGTTGAAGAGGAACATATCTTTTCTTAATTTATAGATTTGAATCACTGCTTTTATTGCCATATATGTGTTATATGCCCTAATATTTTATATTTTTAATAATAAGCCATTGGACTACCTGACTCAAGCCTTGGTGCTGTCTTTAGGAGTATGTTACCATGCTTGTCTACAAGAAGAAAGAGAAGCATACAGAGATAACATATCTGAATATTTCACTCTCCTTGTGTACTCAGTGAAGGTGGTGATCAAATGTTGGATGAAATTAATCGGTGAGTATTCAATTCTGCTTGCTAGACTTTAGTTTAGGGCAACCTTATGTTTCTCATTTCACCACAAATTGTTTTTATTCCTTTATTTCAGATGTCAAGATGTGTTTCTAAATGAACTTCTACTTGGACCTAATATTGCAAGAAATGCTGCACTGAAAGAGAATGTCTTCATGATGGTCGTTTGTATTGAGTTAAGGATACCTTTATTCTTAGTTGGTAAACCAGGGAGTTCAAAGTCTCTAGCCAAGACTATTGTAGCTGATGCCATGCAGGGAGAGGCTGCTGCTTCTCCATTGTTTAAAACATTTAAGCAGGTAAATATTCCACCAATGGCAGGCTTTGCTTGCTGTGAATTAAATTATAAAATGTATATTTTTCTCATATTTAAAATAAACTATTTTGAATTTTCTTGAAACATACTTAGGTCAAAGTTATCCAAGTTTGATCAACAAATTTATGAAATACAACAAACATTTAGTTGCCATGCTTACCAGTAATATCCATATATATTGTGTTTTTAGGTTCATATGTCATCTTATCAGTGCAGTCCGTTGTCTACACCAGAGGGCATTGTGGGTACGTTCAGACAGTGTAGTCGTTTCCAGGAAGGTAAAGATCTGGATCGGTTTGTCTCAGTAGTCGTATTAGATGAAGTAGGTTTGGCTGAAGATTCACCAAAGATGCCCCTCAAGGTATGTCAAAAATCAGTGAAAATAAATTCCATACAAAACATCCAAAATGTCTTTTCATCGAAAATTAATTCTAGCTAAAATAAAATATTTTTACAATATATTGTTAGATATAAATTTGTCGAACAATATATTGAATAAACATAAAATTGGATTTGCATCAAGTGTGAATTTCCTAGAATCAGCTGAACACTGACTTCTTATATGCAGCGTATAAATCCGACACGCCTAGAATTTAGACTATCTAAAGATATTGTTGGTCAAATGATTGACAGCCACATAAATTGTACCCCTCAAGTTACATTATCGACTAGCTCTATGACATTGTTGAAATGTATTGCGTTCATTGCTTCAGACGTTGCATCCATTGTTGGAATATGGGTGTGATGACGAAGATAATCCACCACCTCACAAGAAAGTTGCATTTATTGGCATTTCAAACTGGGCGTTGGATCCAGCTAAGATGAATCGTGGTATACTGGTATCAAGGGGAGTACCCGATGAAGATGAACTCAAAGACAGTGCTGTGTAAGATTTTATAACTATTAAAGACAGTATGATAACATTTAACATAACTACAATTTACAGTAATAAAGTGTCATATTCAATACTTAACCATTTCACCACCAGACTTTCTTGTCTTCATTTTCTGCATTTTTTTTTTTTATATTCTTCAATATTTCTAGAAATGAATTCTAATTTAGGAAGCTGACGGAGAAAATTTGAATCAATTTTCAGTTTTCACTATAAAAAAAAATGGCTTTATTTGTCCTTATCTTCTGAAGGAAAGTGTAGACTATAAACTGGACTATTTTGTGAATTTGTGATGTAAAGAGAGAACTGGTGGTTAATGAAAATTGTGAATGATCATTATTAGCATGGAAATCCTGGTTTGTGAAATGATACAATTGGTATTATTTTTTCTTCTTAAAACAGAGGTATATGTTCAACAGAGGACGTTGTGCTGTCTCGTATCCAACCAATGATTCCTGCTTTGGCAAAAGGATATTTGACATTATACAAGGACCAGAATAAAGAATTCTTTGGTTTACGAGACTTTTACAGGTAATACTTTAAAATTTCAACTATTTTGAAAGTTAGCAAGATTGGAAAAAAGAGGTTAGCGAAAAATTGATGTATAGTTACCATTAAGTGAAATTATTCGATGTGCTAATTATTGTGTCATATTTTATAGTTTTCTGATTACATTCAGTGAAAAGTCGTTAGTGATTTCTGTCGTCCATGCTTGTCTAGGAGCAACATTAAATGTTATACAATGTATCACTATAAAATTAATGACTGTAGAATTTCCATGGTAACTCATTATTTTTATCTGGTTTCAAGTCTTGTCAAGATGGTGTATGGATTTTCTAAAGCATCTGGTAAACCACCAACCTGGCACCAACTGGTCCATGCCATAAGACGTAACTTTGGTGGTCTGGATAATATAGATCCTGTTGAAGTGTTTAATAAACAGCTACACAATGTTGATAAGAGGCAAATAAAGGTGTGAATATAAAGTGTAACTTGCCTAAGGTGAACACTGAAAAAGCAGGGTTTACACAGGGTTTCATTTGGACAGGTTTCCAGTTACACAGGATTTAGTTTTTGGCTGGATTCCAGTTTTCACATGGTTCACGTTTAGACAGGTTTGCAGCTTAGAAAAAAATCATTGACTTTTACTGATTATGAAAACTTTCTAAATTTTCACACTTTCATATTCAAGGTACTGAGAATATACTGTATAGTGCTTTATTTTCTTGATTCGATGGGCATGGACAAAACTTTGCAAAAGTCAGCGTATATACAGATCATTCTGGAAATATTTCCGGAATAACAATTTACTGATATATAAGAAGAAATAACAGAATGTGGATTGATGTATTCTCATTGCAGGGACCAACTGATCCTGATTGTGATCCAGCTGGGCTTATCCGTGCCAGTTTGGTTGGCTTGGACAGGGACATATTGGATATGGAAAGGTGAGAAATGTTCTTTAAATATATAAATTATGTTTCTTTGACTTCACAGTATTACACAAACTTTACGCTTATCATTAGAAAGATACGAGTATGTTGCCAAATCAGTTTTGAATCAATATCTTTTTGCACTTAGCTGTTGCATCTGAAGATAACTTTCTGTAATCAATAAAAAGTACTATCTATCTCTGGTAGGGAAATCAACATAAACCAATTTTCAATCTCGAAATAGATTTGATATTTTGGTGAGAAAATATGTGACTAAAAAATAAACAGAAAATTTGATCATTTCAGAAATAAGGGATCTGAAGGTACTGGCAGTGCACCACTATTATAGTAGCTCCACCCACAGTGGGTGAATAATACAAAAAATTATGAATTACACAATTTGTTAATTGTCATTTCTCCTATATTCTTTTAGTGAGAGTCGTTATCTACTGGTATTAACAGAGAATTTTGCAGCACTTGGTATTCTACAACAGCAGTTACTCAGCATGGAAGACACCGTCATCATTTTTGGTAGTAGCTTTCCCAAAGATCAAGAATATACACAGGTACTTGTTTTTCTCCAGTTGAGTTTCAAGAGTACAGTAAGATTGAGCCTTACCTGAGTGAGTGTGCCAGACTTGATTGATGAGATCAAAACCACTGGCTGGCTCTGAGCACCAAATGTAACTTTCAGAATCTTCTGTTGAGCTCTGCTTGTGTTTGATCATCCACATTGATGCCAGCATGGTTCATTGAATTGTATGCTCTATCCATGACTCATTTACACTCGTACATTAACAATCCATTTCTCATTTCTCTAGGTTTGCCGTAACATCAACCGAATCAAAGTCTGTATGGAAACTGGTCGTACTGTTGTATTATTAAACTTAGAAAGTTTATATGAGAGTTTATATGATGCCTTGAACCAGTACTATGTGTATTTTGGTGGACAGAGATATGTAGATTTAGGTCTTGGAACTCACAGAGTGAAATGCAGGGTACATAATGAGTTCAGGTAATGTAGTGTGAGTTTCTAGTATGAATATAGAGGACATAATTTTAGTTTATGTTGTCTCATTTGTCTGTGTGTAATTTGGTTTCAATCATTTATCATGAACCTGCAATCATTACCATATGATTATTTTCTTTTGTTCTGATTTCTAGATTGATAGTTGTTGCGGATAAAAATGTTGTTTATGAAAGGTTTCCAATTCCACTTATCAATCGTCTTGAGAAACACTTCTTGGCAATGGCAACAATGCTCACACCTGGAGAGCTTGAAGTGGTAGATAGACTGGAGAAATGGGTCAAGAGTTTTGCTACCATTACCCAGAGTCCACACCAGAGAGACAGGTTTGTTTTCTAATCTGTGACATAAGAGCATGTTTGCTCAGCTTCAAGGTAGAATATGAGTTTGTGTCCATGATTGGGTGGCCACTCTCCAATGGGAAAAGAATACATTAAGACATTACATTACTGGTTATGAGAACGGTATTCGGATGGAGGGGATATGAAGCTCCTGTCTTCTGTGCTGCTCTTGGCTTTGCTGATTGCGAAAAAAACTGTTTGCCCCAATTTTAAAAAAGTTAAATAACCAAAGTATCAAAATTACTTTTTATTCAATAGCTAATTTTTAGTATATTTGGATGTGTATTAATTTTATTTTTTTCAGGTCCAAAGGTCGATTCAAAATACATGATGCATTCATTGGATTCAATAATGACACTATAGCATCAATTGTATTACAAGTTACCACGGATATGAATCAACATGAAGGGAATCAGGAGTGGCAGAAACATGTAAGTCTTGATAGCATTGTCATTTGTAATGCCAGTTTACTGTCATTGATAATATATATATATATGGGACATGGCAATGATTTTATGAAAGGACAGCAGTACCCCTTTATGATAGTATACTACCCTCATATGACTAGCTTAAACCACTTTTGTTATTAATAAATAAATATTATCTCAGTTTTCTACCATGCAAAAGTAGAAGAACGCAATAAGGGTTTGCTGTTTTCTGTAGGTGTATGAGCAATCCCAGGAACTGCTGCTGTACTGCGCAACTCCAGATTCTGTAGCACGGTTAACCAAATCAGGACTGTGCAGCTCATCAGAGAGACTGTGGCAGAAGTACTTCAAAGAACAGAAACACAATTCAGTAGCTGAGTATTTAGAATACCAAGTCAGTATGGCGAAAAGAAGTGGAAATACAGTTGGAATACTTGCACAGGTAATAAAATCAAGTGGCTTGTTGATAAAGTCTACTGCCCAAAGAAATAGCAGTATATCATTTGTGATAATGTAGTCATCCAAAAATAATATACTGCCATCCTTGTAGAGTTAACCCAGTACTCCAATGCGTAGGAGTGCAGCCGCACTCACAAATATCAACTTCAGGTATTTTAAAAATAGCATATCTTTGCAGAGTACATATAATGAAACTCAGTATAGGCCAAAGCATGTGTGGCATCATTTGTTTGCATTCGAATGTCAGATAACAAATGTCACTAACTGATCAACACTAGCTCAAGGTCTTGAACAATATTGCTCCATTATTAGTTGTTTTAATTACAGGGACACATATATGTATACCAAGCGATGCGCATACTCATGTACATGTGTATAACATTAACAAGTGTACAACCTGTAGAAAATACTGCTTCACAAATATCAACTATTTTGTGAAAAAACAAACATGCAATTGAAATATATCGTAACAGATGTCTATAATGAAAAATGTCCACTGTTCAGTTTCTATCACTATATATATAAATTATTTATTTTTCTATGTTGCTAGGTTACCACCCATTCCAGATTATTATCCCGATATGATATACAGGATCTAGCTAGAAACATTGGTCTTCATCCAAAGCTGTTACTTCAACACAGTGTCTTCTTACAAGCATTGCACACTGAGCAACAATTCACTAAACATGTTAGGTAAGATTTCTTGCATTCAGTTTACCTGAAAATGGACTGGGAGCTTAAAATGGTTCTCCTGAACAAGATAACCAAAGTGATTAGGGGAAATATGCTACTAAATTCTCTTAAAAATGATATGGATTGGGAGAGTGGAACTCTAAGGTGTGCTTATATCTATGCTGTCATCAGTAGCATTGTGGCATCATCCAGCTCCTTTTATCAGATATCTTTAGTGTGTACCTTCCATAATAGTATCGTTCCAAGTATAGCAAGTACCCAGGTTGTAATGTACACTCTGAGCAGATCATGTAGCATAAATGGTACAATAAAAACTGCTAGTCCTGTATGCTGCTCCTTTCCTTGCTAATCGTCAGTCATATGCTTTGAACTCACAAGCCCAGAGTGATACTTGTACATTCACTTGTAATCATTTTACCATTATCCTTTACCATGAAGTATAAATTTGTGTGGTTTCTTTCCTTCAGGGCATTCTTCACTGACACTGATGCTTCAAAGATGGAAAGACTTCTTCTTGTTCAGTGTGATGCTGGTGATGAAAACACCAACCTGATTGCATGCTCACGATACATAGTACAAGATGAAAGAGCACAAGCAATGAAACAC